TTCTGCCATGTCTCTTATTTGCATTAAGCTTTTACATTATTCATCCTTTTTCCTTGACCAGGAGTTCAAGAGGACTTATTTGACCAATCAACGTAGATGATGATATGATGATGATATGATGATGATGATGATGATGATGATGATGATGATGATGATGATGATGATGGTACCAAATACGTACGGATTGGTTCCCGGTGCTGGTACAAAAGGGCGTCAGTGATGACCACGACACCAGCGTTCTGATCACGGAATACACAAAGTACGGTCAAAATGAAAGATTGAACGAAAGCGTGAACAAAGAAACACTTCAGCAAATAAGCTTTGGAACAAAAAAGAAAGTGAGAAAGGAAGAACGTGAGCGTGAAAGACAGCGAATGAGTAAAAGCATATTGGCACACAGTGAATGAACTAAGGAAGTAATAATAATAATAATAATAGATAGCATTTGTATAGCGCATATCCCCGCTCAACAGCAGGCTCTAAGCGCTTTACACTATATTATTACCCCAGCAGACCATAGAACACTCCGAAACATTCTCAGCTTCCCGAGAAGCATACAGTGCAAGCAGCCGATTAAGCGCTCAAACACTAACACACTGACAAGATCTTTCGCTGTCTGTAGCCGGGTACCCATTCCCACCTGGGTGAAGTGAGGAAAATTCGTGTAAAGTGCCTTTCCCAAGGACACAGCGTCGGGCCCCTGACGGGATTCGAACCCACGACCTTACGGTTGCGAGTCCGAGAGCCTAACCACTACGCCACCGACGCCAAGTAAATAATAGAGGGAGGATTGCATAGTCATTTATTGCTAAATCAATTTACTGAATCCACACGAGAGAAAGTAAGTGAGCGAGTAAGTGAGTGGCTGATTAGAGAGTGAAGGAGTGAAAAAGTGAGAAAGAGTGAATAATTTAGGGAGCGGGTAAATAAATGTTTGAGTGACTAGATTTTGATGAGGATAAAATCAATTATTAAAGAGATAGTGAGTGTACGGCTGAGTGGGTGAGCGAGTGAGTGAGTGAGTGAGTGAGTGAGTGAGTGAGTGAGTGAGTGAGTGAGTGAGTGAGTGAGTGAGTGAGTGAGTGAGTGAGTGAGTGAGTGAGTGAGTGAGTGAGTGAGTGAGTGACTGAGTGAGTGAGTGAGTGAGTGAGTGAGTGAAGGACGGGGTGAATGACTGGGCGAGAGAGGGATGGAGGGAGTGAGTGAGTGAATGAGGGGAGGGAGTGGGTCTACAGAAAGAATGTTTGAAAAAACAACAAAAATAACAAACGACGAACAAAAGAAAGAACGAAAATGGATTGGCCACAAAAATTACAAAGAGCGCAAAGGAAGAGATGAAAGACTCACTAGCAGGAAAAGGGTGAAATGAAACGATGAATTAGTGGAGAAAATCAAGGTTGGGGAAATCATTATATTGACAAGTGGTAGGCCACATCAAGAGGGTAAATATGGTCATTGACCTTCAAGTAGACAGATAGACAGACAGACAGACAGACAGACAGACAGACAGACAGACAGACAGACAGACAGACAGACAGACAGACAGACAGACAGACAGACAGAATTATTTTATGCATGCCAATTTGTACAGACAAGCAGGCAGACATGTAAAGTATAACTAGGCCCTAACCTGGAAAATTTTGGTTGCATCACTTCCTCCGTAAGATATCGGGAACGGCCACCAGATACTTCTCTTTCGGCGGATAGGCCCAGCTGGCCTGATTCCTCCGCCTAGGATCGGGATGACGTCATTCTGTTCGTTGTCCTTGATGGTGTCGTAGGCCTTCAGCTCCGAGTACACCTGGACAAAAAACAGACAAACGGACGCGCATCCATGAATAAACGCAAGTTCACTAACCCGCCCTTAGCTTCTAAACCCACTCCATTCCCACGTACATCCCACTGGGGCTCTCTCTCTCTCTCTCTCTCTCTCTCT